GTCCTATCCAACATGTGTAGCACTAATTTATACTGAGTCATCTTTCTAACCTTACATAGAAGAAAACGTTCATCGTCCCTTCAATATTAAATTGATGAGGTGAAAATAATCACTTAACCTCCACGCACTCATTCAGCTTTAACTGTTTAAATCATAATAATAATATAGTAATAATAATGAAATTAATATTATAATATTAATGACTAATTTGATTATTGCTCAATTACACAAGACAAAATGAATCAAACAATGAACATAAGCTCAGACGACTGGTATTTGGTGAATGTAAAACAAGGTGGATTTTATCGAGTTCACTACGCTGACAATAACTGGATCTTATTAATCAATCAATTGCAAAGGAATCTCACGGTTTGTTAAAAATACTTGTGTTTCTCTCTGTTGTAAATAACTATTCTATCAAATATTTTAAATTTATTCTTGTTAGTAACATGGAAATTGATAGATAAGCATAATTATGATGATAAATTTTGTAGAATGTGATAAGCGATACAGGTTATTTTAATATAAACTAGTGAGAATGGATCTTCATTCATTGTGAATATCCAACTTTAATCATTGTGTTAAAATGAATTCATATGAAACACACCACATCTTAAGTCAGATGGCATGACCATTTACCAAGTAAGCATACGAAGCCACATGTAAAATAACTTTTTGTCATTTGACATAAGGACGCACTAACGTAATTAGCTATTTGAATACTTACTTACCTATTTGATTATTTACTCAAGTGCTGACGTCTTTACTTAATTACTTACTTATGTAATTGCACACATGCTCAGAACAGCCTAGGCTGCCAACTAGGATTCTCCAAACTATTCTATCCTAGCCTCCTTTCCAGTCGTCGTCAATTGCTTCTCATTCTTTTGGTATATGCCTCGAATTCTCGACACAACATGTTCATTGGTCTTCCTCTGTACCTCTTGCCTTCTGGATTCGGTGTGATTGTCTCGAGATTCCATCTGATGGTTAACATAATGCTTGTCGTACCCACCTCTAACATCTCGTCGTGCTTTCATATTCAGATGGAAGTTGGCTTGTTTTCTGCTGCAGTGTGTTGCTCTTGATGGTATCCGGTTGACTGATATTCAGTGTCTTGTTCAGATAACTATTCATGAACACATATACATTTTGATGGCAGTTCCAAAATTTTCAGCTCAGTACACTAGAACCAGCTCGATGTTTGTATTGAAGATTCTGTATTTGACTCATATATCTTCAACTGTAAGAGTAGTGCCGTTACCTTGCCAATCCCTGCCTCTGCATCTACCACACATCCTTCTAGTTGGTTGATGATTCTTCTCAGATATGTGAATAACTCTCCATGACTCATTTGAGGATTTCGCTTATTCTTTTGCGAGTGTTGAGGTTTACTGCTGTAGAGGCTGCCGCTACACTGGCTGTCTTCACCTGGATTGTTGCTAAGCATGATATGAAAGAGTTGAGTCATCTACTGAGTGCATAATCTTCAAGTGAATCGAGGCTGTCCAATGTGTCCCGTGCTTCTCCCGAGACGTGGTTGTTTCCACATTTCATTTGACTGCTAGAAGGAAGAGAAACAACGATTTTAGGTATCCCGCGGCCCAGCAACTCCTGGCGTGTCAAAGTATCTGCCTCATTTTCAGCTGTTCCCTATGATAGTTTCCTAGTGTCTGAGTAGATTTTCAAACATTAGAAAACATGACTGAGATCCATTTTTAATTCGTTCAGGTTGTCAGCATCTACTAGAAATAATGCATTGAATATTTCAATGCTGTTTACACAGTTGCCCACTTTCCCTTCGGCTTTAGTTTTATCATAGCCATAACCGGGTGGTATTATGAAGGCATGTCAACCAGCCTCTTTTTTATCATGTATAATGTATAGTGACGAGTTTCATTCAGTTGATTGTCCCACTTCTATCTGCAGTGTTTGCGATTTCTGGTTTATTAAAGTGTTGTTGAAAGCGCTGTAACAAAAGCTAGGTAGAGTTCTATGCCTTGTGGTGATGATTTTTGTGGTTGAGCAACTGACCCGTTGAATTTATGCTTCTTTAATCCTCTAGTTATGCTCCTTGAATGGTTCACTCTCTTGGAGTAGATGTTGTAAAACTTGGAGATAGTTGCTGAAATATATCATGGAAATATAGAGACTCAAATAACTATTTATTAGGTGTGGAACGTGAAAGAATTAATCAAACTGTCACCCGTTTCATTAACCGAGAGATTACCAACTGTGTAGAAGTTGAGTAGTAGAAATACGAAGTGAGAGGGAATATTATATTCATGCAATATTTATAGCAGATCAAATGATGTGAGAATATGGACTGATTATTACAACATGCGTGTGCAATGTGTGGACGACACGTTTTTGGTAGAGGAGTCGATTGATGTGTGTAAAAACGCTTGTGTGAAATATTTAGTAATTATTTAGTCGACTTAGATACACAAATATGTAAACAGTCAGACCTATATGGAAGGTGTTTATGAATGAAGACCTTTAAAGAAATGAATATGTACATCTTAATATAGCGGATTTTGCTTTAAGCTGTTAATTCATAATTTCAGCTCGTCATTTAGTGTCGCAAACTAAGGTGTGATCTTTCTGAAATCACACTCATTTTATAGATTGTATTTTACATTGTGGTTCGATGTTCCATAAGGCATTTCGATTTTTATCTAATTTTTTCGTGTCTAGGCTATTCCAGTCTTCTCACGCGCACAAATATTGAATGATTTATTCAGTCTTGCAAAGTAAGTGTGGAGTGGAAAGAAACCAATTTCTTTTTTGGATGATTTTTATCCTGTTACAAAATATCAGGCTAGTTAATAACTTTGATTCCAAATACTGATTGAAAACACGGAAAATTGATGGAAGTTAGTCAATATTTAAAAAAGATTGAGTATTCGACATTTCATACCATCTGATTGTAAAGGAAATACGTTTTAGAACTTGGATATTCTAATTGAATGCCACCCATAATCTGAAACCGATTCTTTCAGAAATGCAAACTAGTACAACAGTTTGCAAAAGAAGCAAGACGGTTAGAGTAACGTATAGTAAGCTGGATTAGAAAAGTTCGCAATGAGTTGGAGTGAATTTGCTGTACACATAGACGTTTTGAATACTGAATACATTCAGCTTCCCAGAAATCTATGTCAACCTTACGATAATATAACGATAGATTAGTATAATCACAAAGAGTTGACATACATGATACGCTATATTTTTGAAAACAAACTGTCAATACCGTTGATTGGTCACTCATTTATTAATGATTAAAAATATAATATGTCGGGTGAAGTAATTACACAGACATATAAACGAAGAATACACTTCTCAAAATTCTCTACACGTTCTACAATCACATATCCAAACTTATCATACGCGAAGTATGAAGATGTTTCATCAAAGTAATTTTCCTTCCGACGATATCATTTTCGGAGGCTGTGCAGTCGTATTTATAGTTAATTTTTAAATGTAGTTTTCTGCGGCAAAATAGCGGGGTTTCAAATATTTGTCAAACATAGTCAAACTTATTCATGTGGGAGTCGAGGAAAGTAAATTGATTTTGTGTGATATAGAAAAGGTTGTCACCTTATGTAATGGATTCTGAATTTATGAGAGCTAATGATCCATAAAATAAATGTTAGGCATACCGGTCCACTTATTCCAGGAGGGGACGAAAAAGACATTATTAAGCACTTGCAAATTGCGAAATTCGAAGGGATGCTAAGATCATGAAAGAATAAAGCGTTGAGCATGACTCTTGTGTACACAGAGTTCGAGTGTGAAATATTGAACTTCTATAGACTCGGCTGTGAACAAATTACTCAAACAAGTCTTTTTGAGCTTATTTTTCACTTTGCAATCAGTTCGAAATTATCTATTTTGTTTTGCTTTGGCCTCCTTGTCAGTCAACATATCGTACCGTATACTCTTTTCTTGGACGCAACAAAATATTTAAACCGCGAAGATGAGTTTATTGTATGGATAACAGCTAGTCGAGCGCTGCTTTACATTAATAACGTGCTTGCTCTGAATGAGAATTATGAAGATTTCCAAGCATACTTGCGAACTCTTATCGATAACCGTATTCGATCAGCGAATTGGTCATTTGTTGGCAAAGGTCAAGATCTTCCAAAGATGTGAGTAGTAATATTTCCATTTCGTAAGTTTCCCCTCTGTCATATCACTGATATAGTCTCAGAAGTCATTTTGTACGAAACATTCTGTATGGAAGACACCCAACAGAATATGATGAAATTGCCAGTATTGTTATCAGAAATGCTAATTAAAGCAAAACGTAGCCGAAAACAGATTCAATGTATGGTTTATGAGAGGAGTGAGATTCACAAACCGGGTTTTGTTACTTCTGAACCATATTAATGAACTGGAACTGTAATGAATAAACGAATTTAAGATTAAGTGATTGGTTAGTGTGCACTTCAATTTGTGTACTTCTGTTATTAGAGACACACTATTGTTGCCTGAGTGAACTCGTTAATTAACTGTAAGTTGTGTATTGTTGTAATATAGTTATCTGAAATCGTTGTAGTATGAACGGTTTTAATCGGATATTCAAAGTTGTACTTTTTCATTTCAAGTTTATTATAATGGAAACGGTAACAGCTCCCCGTTGAAATGAGATGAAAAATGTATTACAGAAATCACCAGCTCGTCGATATTGTATCAATTGGTGAGTTTAATGACATTCGATTTTTCGTAAAGAGATAACAAGACAGGTTTCGAGACAATGCAAAATGTGGGAACATTTTTGACGTGACAACATTATGTTTCAGATACAAAATCAGAGCAATCTCGAATCCATTGGATAAACCGTTGTTCTCAATGAACATCTTTAGGCATCTCCGTGATATTTTATCTCTATCAACTATTTAAATAACTCACTAATAATATTATAAACAAATAACGTATATGTATGTATATATTTACTAAAGTACAACATAACTATCCTTCCACCATTTACTCGATTTTAGACGTTTAGACTATAATGTGATCAAAATCGCTTGTATAGCTGAACATCAACTTTGTGTGAACAAAACTACGGATCTCTTCAGACAATGGATGTCGAAACTCGAAACGAACCCGTTAGTCATGCAATTAATGATTTTTATATGATAAAACAGACTACCGTATAATAAGTTTTTATATTATATTTCATTTTAGTTGAAACAATTCTTAAAACGCAGCTTGAATTATATTGTGTGATCAGTTTTTTTGCTATGGTCAAACACGAATGCATAAATAATTTGTCAATGTTATGGTTTCCCGAATGTAAAGAACTTGTAAGTCAGTAAGCGTAGTGGAATAGCTGTTAAATTGATGTGTAAAGTGGACGGATGGTGTGTGCTACCTGGATTTGTCGACCAGTCGACAATAACTCTCCTGTATGAATAATAGATTTTATTAGCGGGAAATCTTCGAATTAGGTGATTCGACCTTTTTACACCATTCTGAACAACGCGCTGCAGTTTATGTGCGATATTTTAGAATGAGTCATCTACTAACTCCAAAATTTCTAAGTGAATCGAGGCTGTCCAATGTATTCCGTACTTCTCCTGAGATGTGGCTGTCATCACATTTCACTTGACTGCCGGGAGAAAGAGAATGAGAATAGATACTCAGCCTTTTATGACACCGATTTTCAATTGCCATTCATCCATTTGCTGTCTGCCATGCGTGAAATTGAATTGTGATCCGTAGTCTTGATTCCGTTTGATGCTGAAAATCTTTCCAGTTACAGTACAGTTCGCAGAGGGTTTGTATTGTTTCCCATATCTTCAACGTCGAACGCTTTTTAATAATCAAGGAAGCTGTTTCTTATGACGGATTCATTTCAACTGGTTGCTCTGCATTGACCTATGGTATCGCGATTTCGTCTGTGCACGATCGACCGTTAAGAAACGTAGCCGGTCTACCTCTAATTTGATATATTTCACCGAATGGAAGTTATGACTTTTGATGTTTCATGGCCTTAACGAGATCGATTATTCAGAGCAAATTATTGGTCATTAGCTAAGTTGACAAAAGCTCAAAGAGTACGCAATGATAGGTAGAATATTTGAGCTCCGGTTCAGTGATTCATATTAAGGTGCGAAACGTCCGAACCATGTTTTCATTTCACAGTACACCGTGAAACAAATTAAAACATGCGAATTTGATCGTTCGGAATAATACAAATTGACTGTATGAAGAAAATTCACATCCGTAATCGGTAGGAGATTTAAGTTGTTATTATGTCCGAGCTATATTGATAAGCATATATTACTAACTTGCTATGCTTATAAATGTATCTGGAAGTGTAATATATGAATGAACGCAACACAATAATCATACGGATTGAAATCGATTTGACGATCCTATACCAAGAAAGTTAATTAACTCTGAAATCGAAAGTAACGTTTTTGTTCGCGTTTGTTTTATTTTACAGCATACGACCTGATTTGAGATTCATTACTTATTGTACAGCTATTCGTCATGGTGGTCAAGAAGAATGGACATTTTTAGAACGTCAGCTGATATTGAATGAAACTGTGAATGAGATTGAGAATGAAAACAAGATGCTGGCTTTAACCTGTTCTCGTGATCAAGAAATTATGAAAAGGTAACTTATTCTGTTACGTTGAATATTTCACTGTCACATCTGTTTATGATAACAGTAACCCGACTAGATGTTTGGAATCCCCTTTCCTATCAGCTAATGAATATGGTCACAGAATCTAAATCCGTTTGTTATGATCAAAGATTTCTCAAAATTTTGCATGATATTTTTGGAAAGTATGTGTGACAATGACTATGGCTGAATAATTGGAAAGATATATGTTTTCACTCCACGAATGACGATCGAAGAACCAAACACTGTCAAGCCTAATGAAAGTTTATAACATGAGCTTACACTGACTCACCCTCAAATGTAATAGGGCACGGGACATGTTCTTAATTTATGGTTGAAACTACATAAAACTAAATCACTCATATTTTTGGACGGAGCCTATCAAGTATCATCGAGCGAACACGACGACTTTGAACAACTGATTCAAACCCTAGTGGTTTACATTGTTGACTTCAGTTAATTCGCCTTCATATCAAAATTGACTTAAATTTAACTCCATGTGGATACACTGAGATCAGTAGACTTTCACATGTGGATCAACAGTTACCTCATGATTATCATCAAGATATGTCACTCAAAACGTGTCAGTGAACACTGAAGTTTAAAGTCAACTAGGACCCATCGAATAATACTGAGCAGATTTTTCCCAATTCAACAACAGCGTTCACTCACAAACAAAACCGACATCAATGTGCCAAGACCAGTCATCGTAGCTACAAATCTCATCGTTTTATTCTACAGACGTAACTGTTCATATGAATAAATTAATACACAACACCTACTTAGCTAAACATTTCCTCCATCTTTTCATCAGGTACTTAGAGCGGGTAAGAGAGAACGAGAACTTCTGGTTTACGCTTGACTATTTCGCGCAATCTCCAGTTGGCAGCCAACTTTTATGGGACCACCTGAGTGATGTAAATAATTTTATTAAACATAAGTGAGTTTAAATTTCTATTGACAGTGAGGAACCGATGTCATATTAATGTCATGAGGTGGATGGTGCTTGTTGGCTTCAGACGTTTGCGCTTCGTTTGTGAAGTCGCATAGTATGCATTATATGTAGGAGATAGATTGAATACCAATAACTTGGAATGTCAGTCTGTAATCTAGGAGATTTTGTAGACCTAGTTCATTCATGCTTTCGCATTAGAAAACGTCTATCGAACGTATCAACCTTTTGGTGAACATAGTAATTTATCTTCTACAAATATTTCAACAAATATGATTTTAAGTTGATCAGCATATCAATAGACAGTTAGTAGAAGGACTGGTAAATTATCTTAAATAACTCATGATTGTGCCATTTCGATTATGGATGTTTTAGTTCTCCATGCCTCAGCTCAGCAGAACACAACTGTCTTGACGTTCGTATTGAAGATCCTGAATTTGATGTTGGTGTTATCTGATGACCATCCTGATTTTTGCGATAGTTGATGAGGTAACGTCTGTAGGAAGGTCTGTGAGTGGTGATTCGATATCTGGTGAGTCCAATGAAGCTTCCCTATTCAAGAGTTCCTCAAAGTGTTCTGCTTATTTGTTCTCTGTTCTTCAACCTCGATGATAGTCTTGCCTACTTTGTCCTTGACTGGTCTCTCTGGTTTAGTATATTTTCTTGCCAGCATCGTCGAGTCATGTGGCTGTTTCTCATTTCCTTTCAGGCACATTTAACTTGGTGTATGCATTAGTGTGAGAATATTGTGTCACTATATCCAATTTGTTGAATGCATATGTACGTGTAAATATCTCACTATTTGTGTTCATTCGTCATGTCCATGTCGTCTCACTATATCTTCGTATCCGTTGTTATCCACTCCGACTTTCGCGTTTAGATCACTTGTCGGCGTGATCGGGTCATTTCCTGAGCGCTTAGCCATGATCGATCGCAGCCTCATGTAGGACTGATCTTTATTATCGTCGTTGCTTTCATCGGTGTGTGCACAACATAGGATAAGATTCATAGTATTACCCACCTTCTTTGTTTCGAATAATGCTTCTATTTTCTTGGTCTATGAAATTGCCTCCCTATCGGTGTGCTTCTTTGACAGCATCAGAGCAACTCCCTAAGTGTACAGAGCATTTTCTTCTTCATAAGTTCAATATCATGATCGCTTTGTTAGCACTACCAAATACTCAGTCATTCGTCTGTGGATATGCTTGATGGAAAATAACCACACTAACGATGAATTTCGCTCTCTAATTTTGTTTCACAGAGACTTCACGGAATCCATACTAACCGCACTAACTAAATATCCTTAGTCATCGTATATTGGAAGGAATTATGAAAAGGTTAGTGGGGAACCTGTTTATTTGCCATAGCTTTACACGTGTCACTTTGTTTCGTCTCATATGTATACATACTATTATTCTGTGATTTAATTTTCCAAATGTGATCATTTAGACAAATTTGATAATGTTCGGCAGCACACACTCCATTAATCGTAAACAGTTTCAATGAAGTGAAACTGAATAAAATGAAAACAATCGAATTCGTCAACTACGCATTTCCGCAATTTGCGGTCCGAGATATCATCGCTAAATGGTTCAAACTCTAACACAGATGAAAATCAACACGGTGTAGAGCTACTCAGACTAGTGACTACACTGTAGTATGTTACGGAAAATTTGATGAATCCTAAGAACTAGATAAGAAGAATCCCCTTAATATTCAGCTATGAGTTTGTGACAATTCTTCTATGTACAGTCTAGAGTGAGAATGATACAATTTAATTCTACGGTACTCGTTTCCTGATTCATTTCTGCCATGAATCCTGATCATCAATCATGCGATTTTAAAGTGTTCGTTTCATAACTCAAGAGACCTGACTCACCAATAATGCAACCTCTGTAAACACTCTTTAGCGTTTCTGGAGTACGAAGGAATGTGTGCATACTCTACGTGAAAACTTCTCAGTACTTGAAAATATTCTTTCATAGTAAACCAAACACTCATTATTTTGCTATATAATTGATTGACGTCCACTATTTTTCATCTCAAATTTAAACTGTCAATTTTATGAACTGGCTCCATGTGAATTGTACATGAAATGACACTTTTCTCTTTACAGATCCTCCTAACAGAAGCTAATCATCAGATAGACCCTGAACTTCGAGAAATGGTCAAATATTTATTTGAGATATCCAGTGAAAAACCGAAGTGGACTGAAGTATATTCTGCCATTATTCAGTGGTTGAAAGAAAATGTCCCAATGTTACCCATTCATTATAGATCAGTACTGTTGATGAAGATCAATCGATTGTTCAAGCATAAACGATACGAGATAATTCTTTCGACTTCCGTCATTGTTAGCATTAGTATCTTTTTATTCTATCAAGCCTTAGAACATCTATATGTTACTCCATATTCACACCAGTACTTTGAATGATTGCTTGTAGTAACTCGTAGTAACGTTTACTGGATATTTGTATTTATTCATACAACACTTACGTTATAATAGTTTTGTTGTGGGCTTTGATTCAAAATGTTTAATATACAGAATGTCAAATGAAATACGTTGAGTATGAACAAAATGGTCTTTGTTAATCAACAAAATATTGTTCTCTAAAAGCATATAAAATGTGATTCAAGCTGTGTAAAAAGCATTTGTTGAATTTCAACCCAAGCAAATCACTTCGAAAACAGGAACTCTCAACCTATTTAAAAAAAATCTAATAACTAATTCACAGGTTCAAATTAAACTAAACTATCCAATGACGTTCTTAAAACATGATGTTGAAGTTTGTAATCTCATATCAAATCGCATCCGCTTCCTGACCAGTTGTTCCAATTTCCTAATACTTATAGAAAATTGACAGTGGCAGGTCTATCGAAGCTTGTAGGTCACCCGATTGTGATACGAGCAAAGCCAAAGTTTGCAAAACAAAGGTTTGTCTACAATGGTGGTTCTTTATTGAGTATTACACAAACATTAGTTACAAACCTGAACTTGTGGGTTGTCTGTGGCGTTTAACGCGTCCTTTTGTATGAAAAAAAGAAATCGGTAGTACAGAAGACAGCTGATAGGTGTGTTTAAATTTGGTAAGTTTATCAACATTTGAAACCCGAAACGGGATTAAAAAAATTGGAAACTGTTGCGTTAGAACAAATGCACAAAACTGCAGATAACTGCAACAGTGATAAAGGTGAAGTCATTGTTACGATAAATACAATGGTAAATACAATAAACGTTATAACTATATGTAAATATTTCAGAATATTACACGACAACTTGCGTTACAACGAAAGTGTAAACTTTACTGGTACTACAACTACTTACTGAATGTGAATAAGTAGTATAAAACAATACTCAAAAACGTGAAAGACAAGCAAGTGAGAATAATGTAAAAGAAACTCAACATCGCCCCCAAGGACAGCCTATTTTTCCTTACTCTCACGGCTAGATATTTAGTGTGGAAACAATCAGGATGACAATGGTATAATTCACTTTAACCACAGTCATTCCGCAAAGTCATTCTACACTCTACTACTCAATCGTCTGCTCCTTCTAATAAGCAAATTCTACGTGTATCACTAGTGATTATACTTCTTAACGTTCTGGTCTTTGCTTATCTGTTGAGACCATCATCTCCTGGATCAACACACGCCGCTAGAACTTCAAGTCAATTATTTCGTATTTAAGTATATTCAATGGTCAAGACCAGATCGATATGCTTATAAATATCGCCTTTTTTGTGTCCACTTTGTTCGCGTCTGCAAGAGTGATAAATATTCCTTTATCCTACGACACCAAAATGTATTCAACAACGGTTGTGCTTATCGCCATTGTCGAGAATAACGTTCGTATAGGTTTATTTCGATGTGATGAAGATGAGGTATTCTTAACAACAGTGAGTTCTTGGGTGACCATGTTTCGAGATGTTCTGGCAAACTGATACCAAACGTATATCATTAAGTAATCGTTCTACTTCAATCGTATAGGTGGTGATTGTCTCATAAGACAGAGTTTGTTCACGCTTCCTATTAATCTTTCCCATATTCCCCCACGATGACTTGCGTAGGGTGTGTAGTAGTGCCGTTCTATGTTCCGTGCCGTCATTTATTTAGCTGCTGTATTATCTTATATATCTGGTGATGAAAGTTGTAACTCCTTCTCTAACCCAACGAATGTAGATCCTCTATCACTGCATATCTTCTTCGGCACCTCTCTGGGATTTGAATATTGCGACAACGCCATCAGAAAGGAATCGATTGATAATGCGCAGGCAACTTCTATATGAGTAGTTCGGGTGTTGAAACATGTAAGCAAGCAACCATAACACTTCCGGAATTCGCGCCCCTCTTTAATCATGTTCGGCCGGGAATAATCTACCCTATTGTTGCGAATGGATATCGGGCGTTATCCTCGTGGATGATAAGTCTCCCATCAGTTGTAACATTGATTTGGCCGATTTAATCCGACGTCCTATACAGCTATGTACAACTCTCTTGATTGCAGCAGTGCTCTTTAAAATCCACTATCTTTTATATAAGGTGGCTCATTGGTGGTACACCCCATAGGTCCTTCAGATTGATGGTAATATTGGATAACGAGTTCAGTTATAAACTGCTTACTAGAAAGAAAATCGGGTGCTTCTGCTCCGTCGGGAGGCCCCTGCTGTTCAAACGTCCTCCTACATGAGTCAGTTGTCGATTACTGATGGTCGTTGTAAGATCCAAACTATGGTTTGGACTGCCGGACAGCTGTCTGGATGAGTTAGATACGCGCTCACGCCCGTTTGAAACCAAAACAAAGTAATTGGGCAAGATGACGGTTCTATAATTTATCATAAATTTAAGTGTACATTATTACCTAAACAAATATAGCCACTCAGCTATCCAACCAATAATTGTTCAATTGATCAAATGTAAACTACAATAAATAAGAAAGTTGATAAAGGATGCAAGAAAATTACCAATCACCACAAATAAATGTCATTCTATCCTGTCTGGATAGATCACGTACAGATTCGTTCAAAAGGTAATAAATGGTCGCTCTATAACACAGAGTGTTTTCAATTCTGGAAGAGTGCTTCAATTTACAACCAAAATGCACAATTCCAGTCAACACAGGTCAAGCAATCAAAAGCAGGAACAAACCAAAATGGCTGCCGCCCAGACTTAGTATAAAGTAAAACAACATAAGTGCAATTCGGGAAGAAACACGGGGAATTAGTGAAGGTGTAGTAAAAACGAAAACTATAATAAAATACAAATATTAACAATTCAAATGTAGTAAAAAAGTTAACAATGTACAACTAAGAGGATCAATAGGAACAAAGTGTAAGTATATACATGGAGGGATTTTCACAAACACACAAAGCATTCAAAATGGATCTTACAGTCGTTACTTAGTAATAACATAATTCATGGAAATGATACTGTCTGAATGCTTGTGCCGCTTTATCCAATGACTACCTCCCACGAATTCTTACATTTGTACGTATTATAGTAAATCGGTATCGTCCAATTAAGTGAAAGAGGTCCACCTCTCTTACTAGTCAGTTGTTCAGGGAAGTTCACTCTAAATGCAAAGCAATCTGATTGAATGTCCCAACAAAAATCCCAAAGTCCTTAGTATGCGTTCCATCTATACCGGTTTTTCGATTGTCTTCTCGATGACCTTATCGTGTGGTGACATAGCAACATTATCTGAATGCTGGTTTCCGGAAATTTCATGTTTAAACATTATGAGACTGTCGTGCTTGATGAACTCTTTGCTTCTCAATGGTTTATGAAGACTGACGGTTTAGTAATCAGACCTGCTGGTCCAAATAATGAAGCGTAAATTTGTTTGGGCCTCCCAATACACAGTAAGTTCATGGAACGTCGACTCTATTCAAAGACGTCTCGTGTTCAGCTGTGGGGATTCTGTGGCTAGGGCCCAAAGCCACTCTACTACCCTCCCACTATAATCAACGTGAGGTTGGTTTGATAGCGAATTGAGTGAAATCGTTGCGCACAAGAGGTTTTCAAAGATAATGACAATCCCCCAGGTGTTGTTGTGCCGAAGATAAATCAAGAAGAAAGCGACACTAAGCAATCGAAAGATATATGTAAGTAATTTAAAAATGTTTGGTTCAATTATTAACGCCCTCAAGACGGATATTTAATGGAGATTATCTGAGCTAAAGAAAATGGGATAATAATTAGGAATGATTCCGTGTACAGATATTTTAATAATTCCCCGTGCTATACGTAGTAATAGCCGTTAGTTGATAACTTAAATGTAGTATAATATTTTGTGTTTATAGATATTGAA